AAGGCGAAGGGAGGCTACCCTCTCGTCCACCACGGTAAACCCCAATGTACAGGCGCCCAGCCAGGGGGCAATAAGTATGCCAACCCCAGCTCGGCGCCTCTCCCCGTGAGCAACTCCAGAGTGGAAGAGGGTCCAACCCCCTTTGAGGAGACTGGTTCCAGAGCCCAGGCCATGCGTCGAGGTGAGCCTGACTACATCTAGTCGGAACTTCACTGCCTCGCGCACTAGCTCAGGCTCCTTCCCCACCAGAGAGGTGACATTCCATGTCCCTAGGGCTAGCTTCTGCAGCCGAGGATCGGATCGCCAAAGTCCCCGCCTTCGACCACTGTCCAACTCGCACTGCACCCGACCCCTATGGCCCCTCCTACAGGTGGTGAGCCCATTGGAGGGGGGACCCACGTTCCTTGTTCGGGCTGTGCCCGATCAGGCCCCATGGGTGCAGGCCTGGCCACCAGGCGCTTGCCATCGAGCCCCACCCCCAGGCCTGGCTCCAGGGGGGGGGCCTCGGTGCCCCGCGTCCAGGCAAGGGAAATCGTGCATCCATGTTATAACTCATCATAAGGGGTCTTGTGAGCCGCACTTCGTCTGGTTCCTCACCCAGGACCTGTTTGCCTTGGGTGACCCTACCAAGGGCATAAAGCCCCGGGCAACTTAGCTCCTGGGATCATTGGAACACGCAAACCCCTCCACCACGATAAGGTGTTGGCTCCAGGAGAGGTAATGTTTGATTACTTATTATTATTGTCATTTTTGTGGCGATTTGTGACATTGTTCGGTTGGATTGTGTTGCTGGGTTTTGTTTAGTCTGTTTTAAATTGCACTGATTTATCTTTGACTGTCTTTGTACTGTAATTATGGACAAAGTTCCGGATGCTCCAGTGGTCCCTGGGACTCGTCCCAAGACTGTGATGGGTAAGCAAGGCCTGACTTTTGACTCACTGGACGTGAGACTACAAGGCTGGAGGTTTCCATGTTACACAGTTGCTTGAATGATTTAATCGACTTGCAGGTTAACTTGACTAGGCAACTTCATACACACCGCATATCGAATTGTCCTGATACTCCTGCGCCACCTTCCATATCTTGTGGCATGATAGTGGCATCCACTCCTGCTCCAACACGGTCTGTGGGGGAGGCACAGAATTTTAGCGGGGTGACTCGTGCTCTGTCATCGGTACTTCAGGGATCTTCATTGGCTCCAGAGGTATTTTTCCCACAGGGTAAAGTGCAGCCCGAGGAGTGGCTTGCGTCTGTGACGGTCTACAAGGACTCACTGCAGTTATCAGATAGGCAAATCCTTGCGGAGCTGCCTAGGTACTTAGGAAAGGAAGTGACAGCTTGGTTTTCCGCTATGGCGCCACTCTGGCGATCCTGGGAACATTTTAAGGACATGTTAAGGTTAACGTACTTACCTGCCAATAACCAGGAGCGTATTTTGAGAGGTATCCTAGACAGGGTGCAGAAACCTGGTGAGGCTCTGCTAGGGCTGCACGATTTATTGATTTCAAATCGCGATTTGAAACAACTCGATTAGCAAGTCGCGATTTAGGATATACATTATACAGCACATTGGACCCAGGGTTTAAAACTGCTGTGAGAATAGTTTTACAAATTCATGCCGTGCTCCCTGTGTGACAGTCATTCTCA